GAAAGCTTATGTAAGGTCTGAATATTTTTGTTGCAGCTTTATTTCTAACTGCCTTCAGAAGATGAGTTAATAAATAAATCGGGGTATACCACAGAATGGCATATTATTAGGAAACAAACCACCTATCAAACCACCAAGAGACATAGATGAATCTAAAATGCATATTGTTAAGTGAAGGAAACAGGCTATCTACTATAGGATTCCAATTATGTGACAATTGGGAAAAGGCAAAACGGTAGAGACAGTGAAAAGATCAGTGGTTTACAGGGGTTCAGGAATGAGGAGAGTTAAATAAGAGAAGCACAGGGAATATTTTTGGGTGGTGAAACTCCTCTGTGTGACACTGTAATGATGGTTCCATGATATTATGCATTTGTCAAGACCCGTAGAGCACTACGACACAAAGCACTCATATGACTGTATACAAATTAAAACAAACATGTGTTAAAGAGGTCAGAGCATTCAACTAAGTGTGGGGCTGTATATGCAAGGGACCTATAAGGCTAAGTAAGTTTTTGTTTCCATGAAGCCAGCCCACTCCTGTTTCACTTGTCAATGTTTGCCTCTTAACATTTGCCCCTGAGCTTTTTGCTGGATGTAACCAACCTCTCTGAGCAAACCGAGATCTCTGTGTGTCCTGCGGGGTTGGGGCAGACACTGCACAGCTGTGACAGCTCCTCCATGGGAATAGTTGAGGCTGAAGTGAAGATTGGCTTTTGCATCCAGGACAGAGGGAGGCAAGCAGGCAAGTTCAGGAATGAGGCACTGACTGCAGCTGACACATGGTAACCATGGGGTAGTGAGAACCATCACTAGGGGTATTCCAGCCTGCAGGCAAGGAAAACTCTTGAAATTTGGAAAGAAGGCAGGACTGAGCAGATGTGGAAAGTCATATGAACAAGAGGGTCCCACACTCACAGGAAGACAGTGCCTCTCTCCACCATTTCAGCTGCCATGCTCCAGAGCTTCTGCAACTCTGTTCTGCAGCTTTTATAGTATAAGCAGCATTTAACACAACAAGATTTATGAGAATAATTTTTGAGACTTGTTTGTTTTTCCTTGTATTACCAAATGTGTCTGATGGTGACCTAAAGATTTTCCTGTGACTCTACTTTACAGACAGACACAAATACAGGCCCACACTTTTAGTCCTGAGAGGATGCCAATGGCCTTTCCCTGCACACCATGGTCCCACCTTCTCTTGACTGAACAGGGAGAGATGGAATCACCAAACTAAAGCAACCTAGATTAATCTGCCCATGAGGAAAAGCAATTCTGAGAACTTGAGAACTTCCAGAAGTCCCCTCATACCACTAGGGTAGACAATACTAACAATAAAAGGGAATATTTTTAAGTGTAGCTAGACTTTCCTCAACTAAGAGTCTTTGAAATGCACAAAATGGAGCTACAGAAATGTTCCCTTCAGTTGATCAATTTTCCTGAAATGTTCATTTGGACCTTATACATTGTGGTACAACAGTTCATCCTGAGATCACAAGGAGAAACTACAGTTTCTTCCCTCTCATATAACTTTCCTGGAAACATAAAACAAGCAAACAAATGCAAGTCAGGGTGGTTTTTTTCCAGTCTGGGGGAACCTCACTGCTATTGGTGCACTGGCTGGGGACTTTACCTGCCTTCCCTACATGAAGCTTTTGCAGTCAGATCCAGGAAACAAGAGAAATGGGCAGTGGGTCCCAGTCAGAATGAATTCAGAAAGTTTCCCAGGGTATGAAGTCAGTACTGGGCTGAATGCTAAGCTTGCTTGCATTTGATCATGGTGGCATTTTATCTGTGACAGACAACACTAGAAATAGAGATGATTTCCGAGTGAAGCCAATGATTCTTCAATCACAAACTTGCCTAAGAATACTAAGAACTTGAACAATGATTCTGGCGGCACATGGGCCAATAGAAGTTGCGTCCTGTCAGCAGCTGCAACTTGTGACACAAAGATGGGCAGGCCACCACAGAAGGACCAATTGAAGTACAAGGGCAGAGGCCTCAGACATCCCCAAAGCACACAAAAGCAGCAATAGCAAAAAAAAAAATAAAAATAAAAAATAAAAAATAAAAAATAAAAAAAAATTCTATATATTCAAATATTAAGTATTTTTATTATAATACTCTTGTTACAGTAATTTTAAAATACCCAGAAAGCCTGGGGCTGCCTCTAGCCAGGTAGAAAGGGCAGCAAGCACAAAGAGGCAGGGACCCAGCTGTGACACTTGAGGACACTCAGGCTCTCAGGGTTCCTTATGCTCCTGGGGCTATTTTCAACTCCAATGTGAAGTCAGCCTAGCTTTAAATGTGGGCAAATATGAGCATGAATTAAACATGAAGAGGCAAAGAGATATATTTAAGAAGAAAGAGGATGGCTTGAAATGCATCCAGCCATATTTTTGAAAAATAACAAAATATTAACACTTTTCAGGATTGTCAGAAGAAGATAGTTTGAGAATGGGAATAGCCGCCCTCAAGTGAATTTCCATTATTTTCCTTACAACTGCCTTTCTCCATTTCTTCATGTAGAACCTGTACTCTTATTGGGCTTTAGTCAGGATTTGCTGTGCATGATACTTTGAAATCTTTGCACAGCAGTGGTGTGAAAGCATGCAGAGCGGCCCCTGACACTTGGAAATTCTAAGAAGGGGATAAATGATCCCCTCTTGCACAGCAACAGCTTAGCCTCTGATGGCTAGCCCAGAATAATTCTGGAAGTTTCAGCTTCCATCCTTTGCTCTCTGTGCCCTTCAATTGATTCTTCCACAAGTGCTTCCAAATTAAGAATTGAAAAACCAGGGAATCACAGGACTCAAAGAAATATTAATATTCATCTAGTCTGGAGGTTTGGGGAATGGGAATGGATTTAGGAGAAATGAAGGCAGTGACAGAGCAGCCAAGTTCTAGATCACTCACTGCTGCTTCCATTAAAATGCTTCTTTTTCCCTCTTTTGTCTGTTGGACTCCCCTATGAGGTTTTATGTGAAGCACATATTTAACTACGAAAAAAGGTCTAGCAATGAAAAATAACTTGAAAACTTTGGATATATAATGGCATTTATAATGCATTAGAAAGGGTTCTTTTTGCTTTGTAGAAAATGTGCTTTGGAAATTTCTGAGTTTACATGAATGATGAAAATACACTGTTTAATTTAAAGATAATTGTTCAATGCTTTTACACTGTTGGTGGGAGTGTAGATTAGTTAAACCATTGTGGAAGACAATGTGGTGATTCCTCAAGGATCTAGAACCAGAAATACCATTTGACCCAACAATCCCATTACTGGGTGTATCCCCAAAGGATTACAAATCATTCTACTGTAGAGACACATGCGCACATATGTGTATTGCGGCACTATTCACAATAGCAAAGACTTGGAACCAACCAAAACATCCATTAGTGATAGATTGCATAAAAAAAATGTGGTACATATACATCATGGAATATTATGCAGGCATAAAAAAAGAATGAGTTCATGTCCTTTGCAGGGACGTGGATGAAGCTGGAAGCCATTATTCTCAGCAAACTAACACAAGAACAGAAAACCAAACACCACATATTCTCACGTGTGAGAGCTCAATAACGAGAACACGTGGACACAGGGAGGGGAACATCACACACCAGGGCCTGTTGGGAGTTGGGGTTGGGGCCAAGGGGACAGAAAGCATTAAGACAAATACCTACTGCATGCGGGGCTTAAAAGCTAGATGATGGGTTGATAGGTGCAGCAAACCACCATGGTACATGTATACCTACGTAACAAAACTGCATGTTCTGTACATGTATCACAGAACTTAAAGTAAAATTTTTTAAGAAGATAATTGTTTAAAAATCTACCTGAATAATTTTAGGGTCAGATTGGGTGAGGGAAATCAATCTATGAGCAACCCATTCCCATGTACCTTCCACGACAAGAAACAGCACAATGTGGCTTCCACGTCTAACAGAATAGGTAGCAAACAGGACAACTTTGAGGCCTAATTGCCTAATCCCCAGTGCCTCTGAACTTGCCATAGTCCTTGAAAACCCAGCCTAGAAATCTCTTATAATAGACAATCTGCGTGGCTACATAGTTATAAAATTTCATAGTTTTTATAACACATGATACACTCAAAGATTCTCGCCACTTCTATACTACATTTAAGTATAATTGAATACATAAATATGCACACAATATACTTTTCAGTACTGGCACTCATTGAAACTTAACAGATATCAGTGAGTTTGATGATTCTTACTAAAACCATACTATAAGTCCTTGGACTGCCAGGACATAAGCTGTCAAAAATACTGTGACAGCTTATTATAAAAACAGATTTAGTGACTTCAATCCTAACCTTTTCTAGCCAGGTTCACCTCCTTCCAACAAATAATGTATGATTCCTTCCTAAAGTAACACTTATTCTACTACAAGGTCATTGATCCACCTGCATCATACATGCTGACTCACACTCCCTTCCTGAAGGAATTTGATTCATTGTACTAATTTCACCTCATTCACTCATTCCTCCGAACAAACAAAAGAGAACGTGACAGTCCATAGTCATTCTGCCAAGCACCGCCCCCTGCCCCCTGCTTGTTGAGTGTCTACTTCTTAGGAAATCACACCTCACTGAAATGTGTAACTCCAGTTACCATCTTCATGAGGAGACACTGACCCTTCACCTAATAAAGGGTGTTTTAGAAAAACTCAATTATTTTTCTCATTCCTATAAATAGTATTTATTAAAGAAACAACACAAATCAACATAGCTGTTTAAATAAATATTGTGGAAAGACACATCTAAATGCTGTGTAACTGCAATTAAACATTGAGATATTTCTGAATATTTCTACTCCTTCCATAACAAGAGGTTTTGTTTCCTATGTCAATTTTCAAGAACAGAGAAAGAGGCTTCAAAAAGATTAATATCAAAGAAAACAATTGTAGACAAATACAGTTAATTTTTTTCCACTAATTTACGCATGATACATTACTGCAAAGTAATGGTCTTACTTGAATTCAGGTAGAGCAATATTTTTCTTTTGCTGGGGTCACTTCTCGGGCAATCTCAACATTCTGGAGAGCAGTCTAGATGCAGAAATTAAAAAAAAATATATAAGTCCTATGAGCATTCAAAAATAGAAGTGATGAATTGTACACCCTGAAACGTATCTACTTTCCCCATGAGGAAGACAAGCCTGCTATTTACACTCAAATCATACACAATTTTCCACACTTTCTTGTCAATTTCTAGGAATAGCTCAAATCCCTATAAATTATCATGAGAGGAAGCGAGGTAATATTTTCCAAATGACTAATGTCACAAGATTAAGTTCTGTAGAACACACTTTGGGGAAATTGACTTCAAAAGGAGTACCAGAGGATATTTGGCAATCTGCCCAAAATTTCATCTGCCAGTAGGTAGCCCTTGGATCCAAATTTAGAATGAGACTCCAAGTTTAAATTAGTGATAATATGTAAAAGCCTTCATCGTGAGGAATAGTCTATTGATTTAATGCCAAGAAGTGATAACTTTTTTATGAAACTTAGCTATTAACTCAGTTTTATTGTGGGGGGGGCAGGCTGATCCCTTAAAACACTGAAGGCTTGAACAACAGATTGCTAATTCCAGAGGCTAGAGAGATGCTTCTGCCTTTGTCATTTAGTTTTTAATGATCCCATTTATGTTACTTGGTCCCTCATGAACTCAACTGTTGTTTTGAAAATACTGTACTTTAATAAATGAAATGCAGGTGAGATGTCTATATTTAATAGAGAAGTGGTTATCAGAAGTCCCAGGGTGATGAAGCTGGCTGCACAAGTGTTGCTTCTATAGCTTATTGAAAATAATAATATATTTATAACTGAGGAGAGAGGGTTCAATTCTGAATCTGAATCAGAGTCAGATAGAGGCCTATAAATATGCATTTTAAAGAAGCTCCCTCAAAATCTGAAACATAGCTAAGCTGAGAACCCTTAACTAGAGTAAAGCTTGTGAGATGTGCTAGGAATAATTCTTGGATGGTGTGATGGTTAACACTCAGTATCAACTTGACTGGATTGAAGGATGCAAAGTATTGAACCTGGGTGTGTCTGAGAGTGCTGCCAAAGGAGATTAACATTTGAGTCAGTGGGCTGGGAAAGGCAGACTCACCCTTAATCTGGGTGGGCACAATCTAATCAGCTACCAGTGTTGCCAAGATATGAAGCAGGAAGAACACCAAGAAAAGACTAGACCGGCTTAGTCTCCCAGCCTACATCTTTCTCCTGTGCCAGATGCTTCCTACCCTTGAGCATCCGACTCCAGATTCTTCAGCTTTGGGACTCAAACTGGTTTTCTTGCTCCTCAGTTGGCAGGCAGCCTATTATGGGACATTGTGATTGTGTGAGTTAATACTATTTAATAAACTCCAATTATATATATATGTAATATACATATATATTTCCTATTAGTCCTGTCTCTCTAGAAAACCCTGACTAATACAGATGGCCCCCAGATTCTTGCCCCTAAAATGCTCCTTGGCTGCGGACTGGACTTGTGGCAGTTGTGGATTTCACTCCTGTGATGAGATTCTATCAGATGACAAAAGTGGAGGGATTATGTGGCTGTCATCTCCCAAATCAGTCAATTTGAGTTAATCAGTTTGAAGGAGATTATACTGGGTGGCCAGACTTGATCAGGTGGGAGCTCCTACAAAGGATCAGAGGTTCAGGCTGGGACAGATTCTCCCGTGCTTTTGGAAGAGGGAAGCTGCCCTGTGGAGATGGTTGCATACCCAAGTCCTCCAGGAGGCGGCCACTAGGAACCTGGAGCAGCCCTTGGCCAGCACGCAGCAAGAATATGGGGACTTCAGTCCTAGAAATGCAAAGAACTGGATTCTGCCACAAACCTAAGCAAGTTTGGTAGAACCCCGGAGTTCCAGATGCGAACACAGCCTGAATGACACTATGATTGTAGCCTTGTGAGACTGTGCATAGAATCAATCTGCATATGTCGTGCCTGCACTTCTAACTATGGAAACCATGAGGAAACAAAGGAGTACTGTTTTAAATGACTAAGTTTGCTACATGTTTTTATGCAACAATAGATAACCAATACACGAGTTAAGTCTTATGCCTCACTCTGTTATTACTGTATCCCCACATGTCATGCATGTGATTCCATATTTTTTTAAAATTTATATGATAAGGGGTTCAGAATTAGATATTGTGTCAAAATAATGTTAATTGCACTGGAATGATTATCATATCTTTAAGTGTTTTCACAGGTTGTTTCCTTAGTTATTTTATGCGAAATAATTTTAGACTAATCTGTTTTTCTCCATTTATTTATTATTTTATATAGATGTATTTGATGGATTTTATCTATGAAATAATAAATATACATTAAGCCTCTTGAATTAAAAAAAATGTAACCTTGTACCACAGGACCAATATTGAGGTGTGAAAGTAGGAACATTAGTTAAAGAACAACAGGCTATCCTCACTGAGGCGGGTCTACTCCTGGTCTCTATAGCCACAGAGGTGAGCGGACATTAGAACTAGAATAAAATGTTCAAAGTACCACTCTTACAGCCCCAGGTGCAAATATGAAGAGCAAAAAGGGAAAGGAAGCTCGATGAGTCTAGCTAGATGAGTCTTCTGTTTACATATTTACCACCCTCAATTCCACGAATTTTTTTAATTTTTTACAGATGGGGTCTCACTCTGTCACCCAGACTGGAGTGCAGTGGGTGCAACACTCAGTGCATAACTCACTGCAGCCTCTAACTCCTTGGCTCCAGTGATCCTCTTGCCTCAACTGCCCAAGTAGCTGGGATTACAAGTGCAAGACACAAAACTCAGCTCCTAATTGGGACCTCTGCAGAGGCTTTAATGTAACACCGTGAGGGAAATGAAGAAATCAAATAAAAACCTCAAACCAAAACACAGACAGTCCAAAGAAGAGTTCACTACAGCTAATGAAGTAAATAAAAATCTAAAAATGGTAGGTTAATCAATGTATTACTTAACAAGGAACTAGAAGAAAGGAGAGATTTTAAGTTTCTATCCAACCTGAATATATGAGGCAAATAAGAAATACCAGGGGCTCTTGCCACACCATGTCCTTCCCAGTTCTGAGCTCCCTAAGAGTGGGCCGTCTTCTCTCTCCCTTTCTAGGTCTTTATATGTTTTTCTCTATGTGATGTCCAAGATATTAAGTTGCATTTAAGTGGGAGGAAGAAGCAAAACTGCTTCTACTCCAGTTTTCTCAGAAGCAGAAGTCGAACTACATTTTTGACCTAGGAATTTAACTGGAAAATTTAAGTGTAAAACATAAGAGTATACATGTGAGTTTTAAAAATACATTATTGATGTCAGTTATTCAAAGTGTCTTTTAATATTGATAAATTCATACTGTGTGCGCTATGACGTCTTTTTGTGAAATAAATTATTATTCACTGTAATTATTCAATGAAATTATTATTCATTGAAAGCCCTCAAATACAAGTATCACTGAGGAAAACAAATTCAATTGTAAGTGACAAAGATGGAAAAGTTTCAGAAAGAAAATAAATGTTTTAAAACACTCCTCATCTATATAAAAATGTGAAACAATCACTCTGCCTGGCATATTATTTAATAAGTTAAATATCTTAGTTGTGATGGGAGTTTCACAGAAATATACATATGATAAAATGACATATACACACAAACGAGTGCACGTGTAACCAAATAACTCTGTGGGTTGTACCAAGGTCAGTTTCCTGCTTTTCATAATCAGGTACTGCAGTTACGCAAGATGTTAAATTTGGGTGAAGCTGGGTGAAGGGTACACAGCATCTCTCTGTATGTTTCTTTGCAACTTCCTAGAAATTATAACTAATTAAAATCTTAAGTTTCTTAATGTGGGGTAAAGAAAGAGAGATCAGACTGTTACTGTGTCTATATAGAAAGAAGTAGACATAAGAGACTCCATTTTGTTCTGTATTTGAGATGCTGTTAATCTGTGACCCTACCCCCAACCTTGTCCTTGCGAAAGACATGTGCTGTAGTGACTCAAGGTTTAAAGGATTTTGGGCTGTGCAGGGTGTGCTTTGTTAAACAAGTGCCTGAAGGCAGCTTGCTGGTTAAAAGTCATCACCATTCTGTTAATCTCAAGTACCCAGGGACATGTATACTGCCAAAGGTCGCAGGGACCTCTGCCTAGGAAAGCTAGGTATTGTCCAAGGTTTCTCCCCATGTGATAGTCTGAAATATGGCCTCGTGGGAAGGGAAAGACCTAATCGTCCCCTAGCCTGACACCGTGAAGGGTCTGTGCTGAGGAGGACTAGTACAAGAGGAAAGAAGGCCTCTTGGCAGTTGAGATAGAGAAAAGCATCTGTCACCTGCCCGTCCCTGGGCAATGGAACATCTGGGTGTAAAACCCGATTGTATGTTCTGTTTACTGAGAAAGGAGAAAACCGCCTTAGGGCGAAAGGTGGGACTTGCTAGCGCAATGCTGCTCTTTATGCACTAAAAAGGTTTATAGAGATGTTTGCATATGCATATCAAGGCACAGCACTTTTCCTTAAACTATGTCACAGAGATCTTTATTCACATGTCTTACTGCTGACCTTCTCCCTATGATGATCCTATTATCCTGCCACTTCCCCAAGATGGTAAAGATAATGATCAATAAATACTGAGGGAACTCAGAGGCTGGTGCCCGCGTGGGTCCTCTGTATGCTGAGCGCCGGTCCCCTGGGCCCACTTTTTCTTTCTCTATACTTTGTCTCTGTGTCTCATTTCTTTTCTTAATGTTCCACCTAACGAGAAATGCCCACAGGTGTGCCGGGGCAGGATAATAGGATCATCGTCCACCCCTTCACTTAAAAAGTAAAGGAAATGTTGAATATAACTTCAAATAGTGTTATCTCTTAAAGGAAAATAGAATAAAATACAAATATAGTAAAAATCATGTGTACTACAGTTGTCATGCTCCACTTCTTACATTGGGTAATAGATTCACAGATTCTTATGGTATTAATATGCTTTATAACATATATATACACACAGACACACATATATATACACACACATGCATATACATGTCTACACATACATAT